CGTCGCAGACCTCCATCCCCCCTTCATCACAACCCCCTGCATCCCCCCTTCATCTCTTTTCTAGATCTTGTAAGATCCATCAGATCTGGTTGATGGGAGAAGAAAGAAAAAGAAGGAAGAAGAAACGGAAAAAAATGAAGAAGAAGGAAGAAGAAGACATAAGAAGAAAGAAGAAGAAAGAAGAAGAAGAAGAAGGAAGAAGAAAGAGAAAAAATTGATGCAGAGATAAGCATAGGACCGAAGAAGAAAGAGGAATAAGAAAGAGAAAGAAGAAAAAGAAAGAGCAAAATGAAGAAAGAAAAAGCAAATGGAGGAAGAAAGAAGGAAGAAGAAGAAAGGAAAAAAATGAAGAAAGAAAAAGGAAACGGAAGAAGAAAGGAAGAGGAAGAAGATGGGACAAGGGTAGGAAGGACATTTTCTTTTTAAAAACTTTCCTAAAATAGAACGGACGAAAAAGGAAAGTGGGAAGTTTAATTGTGGACGGAGGGAATATATTCTAGTATTCTACATTCAAATTGGTTTAGTGATTTCATAGCCACTTCGCATATCACCTAATTACAAATACAAGTAGAAAAAACCTCAATTGAGATTAGGGAGCAGACCCATAAATTTTGGATAATGAGGCTTCATTTGTGAAAATTCTTAAAAATGATCTCCACCTAAGTCACTCATATTCCTAGGAGTGTCCCCTCTTGTTGGGCACATGGACAATGTCTTCTTGCAGACTGGGCAACATTAAAGGCGGAATCGAGCAAAGTTGCTAAACACGTGAAAGCTTGTTTAGACAATCAACATGTGTTCATCCCACTTGCTTTTGATCATTTTGGTTCCCTGGCCCCGGATGCGGTGAAATATCTAACCAGGGTCCAATATGTCGTGCATAGTAATTTTTCTTCCCCTAAAACCCATAACTTTATCTTTAGTAGGATTAGGTTTGCTATCAAAAAGGGGGTTGCGGCAAAACGTATTGCCCGTTTACTCGCTAGTTTTTTGTAGTTTGGTTGTTCCCATAACCTATATACTATTATTGGGTTAAAGTAAATAGGAACGCTTAAGTGTATTATACATACTACTATATAAATATCCACTTTCATTTCATTTAAATAAAAAAATAAACTAACTCTCAATATAAACATAAGAAAATCAACCTGATCTCAAATGATAAATTCATACTTCACCAATTCACGAATCCAAAATAACACGTCATCAAGCATAAATCAAAAACCTTGATAATAGTCCAAAATAATTATGTTTTGAAAATAAAAAAAACGAGGCTAACAGTGGCACTTGGAGGTTGCAGCGACGAGAGTCTTGGGACGGAGAGCACCACTCGAGGATGGAGCGGTGGAGGTTGGAGAGCAATTTCGGAGCGGTGGAAGGGCAGAGCCGCGGAGGTACTCTGTTCTTCGACTTCGCTTCGGGAATTAGCAGAAAATTAGGTTTTAGTTTTAAAAACATTCAAACGATGCTGTTTTTTGTTTCTTTTTTCTTTTCTTTTTTTTTTACAATAAAATATCTGGGGATGCTACTATACTAGGATAATGCTCATAAAGATGTTTATTTAAAAAAGGATAAAGCAATTTGTACCCGAAGAATTTGTATCCCATTTTGTACACCATAGGGATGCACCAACATTTTGTGTTGGTGTAATGCTAATTTTTGTTAACGCGCCAATGCTTTGTGTCAGTGTAAATTTTTGTTAGCGCACCAACACTTTGTGCCAGTGTGAACCATCAAAATGTTGGTGCATTCTTTTGGTGTACAAATGGGGTACAAATTTTGGGGTACAAATAACTTATTCTTTTTTTAAATAAACATCTTTATGAGCATTATCCTAGCATAGTAGCATCCCCAGATATTTTATTGTCAAAAAAAGAAAAAAGAAACAAAAAAACAGCGCCGTTTAGATGTTTTTAAAACTAAAACCTAATTCTCTGCTAATTCCCGAAGCGAAGTCAAAGAACAGAGCACCTCCGCGGCTCTGCGCTTTCGCCGCTCCGACAGTTGCTCTCCAACCTCCACTGCTTTATTCTCGAGTGGTGCTCTTCGTCCCAAGACTCTAGCCGCTGCAACCTCCAAGTGCCACTGTTAGGTTCGTTTTTTTTAAACTTCAAAACCTAATTATTTTGGACTATTATCAAGGTTTCTTATTTATGCTTGATGACGTGTAATTTTGTTATTTTCGATTTGTGAATTGGTGAAGTATGAATTTATCATTTGAGATCAGGTTGATTTTCTTATGTTTATATTGAGATTTAGTTTATGCTTTTTTAAAAAAAGGTGGAAACGCGAGGCGCCCCGCACCCCGGTAAACACCAAATAATCTAGTCTTTAAAAGGTCACTCTGTGCCCGGTAAACACCAGAACTCCCACACTGCCACTACCGTAATTTGACATGGGATCAATAGGCTTAATATCCTCTCATTGGACTACCCATGTGAGCATAAAGATATCTATTTAAGATGTTAATTGAAGAAACCTACCTGTTCGCGGGGGCGGCGGGCGGCGGCGTTGCTAAAGTCGGCGATGGGCGACTCGCATCGACCTCCTACCTTTTCAATCTTCCCTCCTCACGCGTGACACCTTTCTATGGTACGCTCTAGCGTAGTATTGGAGAGTTGAGTAAAGATATGTGGATTGTGTATTATGGGCTGTCAGCCTTCAAGCCGTCAGATGAATAAGCGGCCCACTACCTACGAAATAAAAAAGACAACAATAGCAAGCCCACACAACCGGTCTGCCGATCAGTCCACCGCTCCTCACTACATTTGGCTTGAACCCAATCAAAACCCGAATAAGAATATTTTGAGAATCGAAAATACTGAAATAGACCTTAGAAATTTCTTTTAAAACTATTTTCAGTTTCTTCCTACATCCTAGAAATGTTTTTGTGGAAAAGTGTTGTTTCAATACCATACACTACAAGAAAAATGTTTTTTTAGCTTGAGTGCAAACCGTTACTAAAACTTCCGTAGTTAATTACAAATAATGACAGTACCTCGGTCCTCTCGTTAAAACTATTTAATGAGACTACTCTTAGGCCTTGAATAGTTTTTAATGAGAGGATTGAAATTCCGTCATTATTTTTAATTAACTACGGATGCTTTAGTGACGATTTGTACTCACACTAAAGAACATTTTTCTTGTAGTGATAGCAGGGGTATACTCCGTCCGTTGTATATTTTTTCTTTTGACTTTTCACAACCTTCAATCCAATATTTTGATCATCACCATCTTTATTTATGTTCACCATCCACCCGATTTAATCTTTCCATTTGAATTATCACGGTCTCAAATGTAAATCTTTGACCATTAATATTATTATTTATATCAAAATATATTTTATAAAAAACCTAAAAGACTAACATGTCGTTGATGTAGATTTAGTTACTTGATATGCATGCTATTCATATAACAGAACTGTGGGGTGAAAACAAACACAACCCAATATAATCAACTTCGTTGGGGTCTGGGGGTCAAGGTGTATTCAATCGTACCCCTCTTAAAAACAGAAAGGTTATTTCCTTTAGATTCTTGATGCATTACTGCATTTACTACTTAAAACGTCATATATAGAATGAGAGAACACAGCTGATAATTGCAAAAAAGTTGAGTTATGAGTTACTTATATATGTGGAGTTTACTTTCTTACCCGCCGTGGTGGCGGTGGTGCAGCCACAATAATCAAAATGTTCAATTGAACTCAAACCACCTGGCTTGATCAAACCTCTAAAGTTATTGTGTTGAGATGCATTCTCTGTTTTGATGTCTTCTGCAGGGACTGTGCTTTTTATATTTAATTTTCTTAATTTATGTCTAGGGTTCACAGAACACCAAATTTGGATTTCCTTCGAAGTCAATGGACTATTGATCGAAGAGCTGAATGGTCAATATGGATGGTTTATTCTAAAGTTGAGATGCCTCATCAATATATAAGTAGTGAGGTTGATAGTTCTTCCTACCATGGCACTTCTGGGAGACCCCCTATTTCTCGGAAGCTCGCTGAGGATGTAATTAGAGTTTAAGCTTTTGATTTACAGTTTGTTATATCTATACTCATATCCTTACTTGGTGTTAAAAGTTTTCGTAATGCTAAGTATTTTTTTGTACTCTAAGCAGCCTGCCCATACTGCAGCTATGCGTGCTGAGCTTCACCGACGGAGTATTGCACAAATGAGAGTGAGTTCTGTCTTTGTAAGAAATAATTCCCTAATGGTCTAAACAATTAAAATATGTAAACTAATTATATTTAAATGACAATTAACCCAATAGTATTAAAAGAAAATAAGTAAATGACAAAATCATAGTAGAATAATTACATAGTGTAAAAGCTAGCCGAGAATTCGTAAAGTTCTCCTTGCATTTTTTAGAGCAAATTGGTTGATCACATCTTAGTGAAATCAAATACAGAAATACAAACTTTAAAGTTCCAAAAAAACAGATATTCATATTACTAAATTAATAGAATTTCAGATTTTCACAACAAATTTCATAACAATTAGCAAAAATTTCAAATAAAGATTTCAATTTTTCACATGACAAATTCATATAACAGATTGTCAAATTCAAATAAAAAATTCATAACAAATTCATAACACAAATTTATAAAGATTAAAGATTTTTCATATTTACACATATTAAAGAAATTCTGAAACTAGTATTTTTAACCTCCGTACCTGGACTCCTGGACCTGGAGGCTGGAGAGGTTCCCGCGAGGCGGCGTCTGGCGGGCAGCGGCTAGACTCTGCAGCAGTGGAGCGTGCAGGCGGGCGACGGCGTCTCTCTCTCGACGACTTGGCGTCTTTTTTAATTTCCGTTCGTGCTTGGGTTTGGGCTTTTGGCTACTTCTGCTTTCTACTGTGGAACGGAAATAGGAGGGCTAGGGAGTTTTGGGCTGGGCTCGACCCGATCAGACTGCTTGTCCCCCTAATGGGCCGGCCCTGGTACTTCGTACTATGCTTGTCAGCTCTAAAATACTCTTGAGTCTTGACCTTTATTGTTGTTGTTGTTATAATTATTGTTATTATTATTATTATTTGGAGATGTTATTATTAATAGTTATTATGTTATTCATTGAAGAAAATAAAACTTTTCATTTACTATAAACTAGTTGTCTACCCCGTGCTTCGCACGGGCTGGGGATTTATGCACGTGTTTGTTCCATATATGGAAATTAGGTATTGCCTGTTATGCCAATTATTTTTTCGTTGGGTAGTTGATCTTCCTTTGCAAATAGAAATCAAGAATTAAGAAGTAGAAATGATTTTCACACAATCTAGACTCGTAATAATATACAAAATGTAAGACCCTCAGTTTGCTTCTTGGATGTCAATTTTCTCCATTTAGTTCACGTGTTTTCTTTAAAATAATATTAAACTTTATAAATTTGCAATAAATGTAAACGGGAAGAACATTTCCCTCATGAATAACTCAAATACTGTGTCTTGACAAACTGTCCTAATAGTGTCGGTCAGAATACAAAAAACAACCTAAGGTAAGGCCCATAAGAGAGAATATAAAAAGCAACAGGGAATGAGTCATTCGAAATCATTTTTACCAATATCCGAACTTATAAAACTCAAGTCCTTTTCTAACCAAAGACAACATGGTCAAAAGTTGAGTACAGATTTTAGCATCAAACTACATCAAACAACAGCTGTATGTTCCATATCGAACTTCACTACCCATAGAAAAATATAGACGCCAATATTTGTGTAGAGCATTGTATTTTCATCAACATGATCTGCCACAATTTAGGCAAACCTAAGGCTATTAAAAGATATAGACAAACAAATTACAGTGAAACAAAATTACATTTCTTGCCCCCAAAACTTGCACCAAACGCCTTAATAATGCCCTTGCATGTGTTATTGCAGGAGTTGTAATACCAACCATTATTATTGTATGTCATATATTGTAGCAAGACATAAAAATGTAGCACAATGTACGGGTGTAAATCATAGAATAATCAATTCAAAAATTAAACTGAAAGGGGAAAGCCATGTAAAACAATGAGACGGATTTAATGTCATATTATTACATCTTCGAACTCTGACCCAGCTATTTCTAGACTCAAGTTTTAGTTTTTCAGCAGGGATATAATTTTCCATCATCTTTATCAATGAAGCATCTATTTATTTATTTTACTTTGTAATAGAAGTGCAACAATAATAAGAGCATTAGATTCATGGAGTTCATTATATAAGTTGATTATAAAGACAGAAACAGAGAAAACATGAACTTTGCATTTTTAAATTGTTGAAGATACAATGTACTAAACCATTGAGTACCTATTTTATTTATTTTATCATTTGATTCATCATATATCAAATGAAATACTTCAACTTCTACTCCCTACGTTCTCAAAAACTCTTCCTGTTTCATTTATTTTACTTCCAACAAAACACTTCCACTTTCTATTAAAAAACCACTTTTACCCTTAGTCTTTGACACATTTGAGAAAAAAACTCTAGAATTTAGCACAATATGAATCAAGAATTGAACAATGAAAAAATAAAATCTTTACACAAATGAAACCAAATTTTGTGAACATTCAATCTTATTACTAAATAAACTTAAAACTTTGAAATTGAAAAAAATGGAATAGAAAAAGTAAGGGCTAGGGTTTACCTTGATGACAGATCGATAGAAAAAATAAGACTTCTGGCCTTGATCGCCACCCTCCAGTTGAAAGAAGAAGAAGATTCGCTGGTCCAACCACCTCTTTGCCAAAATATAATCGTACCTTTGATCTAAGGTGCAGAAATCAAAGATTTGAATTCGAAACCAATCAGGAGCAGTTTCACTTGAGAAGAAGCATGTTCCGAAATAGATTCCAACTGAAGATCGAAGTGTTTTGTTGCTTAGAGCAGTGCCCAGTGAAAAAATTAATACTACGGGTAAATGAAGAAGAAAAGAGATGAAACTCATGAAACTATTCAACGCACAGGATGTGAACGATTTTGGCAGAATAAACGGCATGAGATAGATCCTAATTTACAAAGTAATAATTGAAGAGGAAGATGGAATACAAAACAATTGAAAGGTCTGCAGAAGGGGAAGAAGAAACGGAGTGAAAATAGAAGTGCAATTCCAGTTGTATTAAAAGTTCTTATTTTTTAATATTGATTCTAATCCCATGAAGTGTTTTTTTTGTGGTTCTGAGAAATTGCCATCTAGACTCTGAGATTTCTTTCTATTGTTACTCACTTATACAATACTCATATTCGTGTAGCACCGGTTCCATCCCTAAATGTGGTTTAGTTACATCATACCTCATGAATCAGCATAAAAAGCAATACAGATAGCATACCTCTACGGTGGTGGGTGATTATCAGCGAACAACACTCCCCGAATAGTTTTGATGTAAGATGTTAGCCTTGAACCGCGGTTGTTATTCGAGCTGCTAGCCTGTCAAGAACCTGGCAAGAAACATGGCCATCACTAAACAATTTTTTCATTGAATTACAAATACTTTCTACAGTAAACCAGCAAGTGCTTTATGTAGTAACAAAAGAGATAACAATCATCGAAAAAAGATCATACCAGAGGAGTAAATTTAACAAACACCTTGTGAACATGCTCAAACATCACTGTTTCCACTAAAAAAGTAATGCAGAAAGAACTATAAGAGTATGAAGATATAATAAGTAACAAACTTACCTTCAAATTGCCACTAAAGGGCTGGGTTGGTGGTTACTGTCTGAAGGAAAAACGTGATGTCATAGGTTGCAGATTCAATATCCACATAATTTAAGGCTTTCTAGGCACCATCACAATTAGTACAGTAAACAGTAGTGTCAATACAATTCAGGGTATAGAGTATAGAGTCGAGATTTGGTTAGATGAAGCCACGGACCGTGGCAGTTGGCATTCAACTGATCGGCGAGGAGCAAAGTGGAGTTGACATTAAGGAGGTGATTGGAATTCTCCAGAGAAGTTGAGGGGGTTTGTGCAAGGCTAAAATGGAGAGCTGCCCTTGTCCATCTCAGCTGACATATGTCAACACTCCACGTCATTTCCCTTTAAAAGACACATGTTTAAAGTTTTATAGTGACATCACTTTCTATTAGGACTCCCATTGACAGGTTTCGTAAATACTTCCTCGGGTTCCTACAGCAATAGTACTAAACCCACCCTATACGTTGAACATGACAAAAACTTCAAAAAAAATGTAATGGATATAAGCTAAATACTGGAAATAAGCTAACATGCTTAAGTTCCGTTCATAAAACGGATTCCATTAATACGTTTGTAATTGTGAAGCTTTGGTTGTTTGCTGATTTATAGTACTGCATGATTCTAATGTGAAACACATATCTATGTCCAATTAGGTTTACATGATGGAGGACCTCTCACCCTTAAAATCACCATCCTAATGTATATGTCAGATTTAACCAAAGAAGAAATGGCCCCAAAGTAGATTTAATTTAAAAAATGAAATGGTGGTAATTAGAGATAGTCATAAAAATCTAAACCACATATATACATGCATCCTATGAGAAACTTTCAACCCATATTACATAATTAAATAATGCAGATGTTCTCCATAGCATGTAATTTTTGACGCGACACCTTTAATATCTCTGTTTCCAGACTCTTGTTTTTTCCATATGTCATTAAAAAGGATAAGGTTTTACTAATACCAAATTCAAATATAACAGCCAAATTGCCCTAAGAAATTCTGATGATTACTTTTTTTTGTATGCAGAAGTTCTGGTGATTACTGATCATATATATGGCACTTAATTAGTGTGCTTTGCATTGTATATGACACACATACAATGAGAAAATAAATGTCACTAACTACACACCTCAAAAGAGCTAAAAAGGAATCAATAACCTGAAGATGGTTCCACATATTCATGGACAGAACGATATATTAATGCCAAGAATATATGTTGGGTTGATGGTAATTACTTGTTTAGGTGGGTTATTCCTGCACAATTCAACATTCATTGACACATAAACCATGAAGAGGTAAAAACTTCAAATAATTATGTAATAAAAAATTAAAAAAAACCTTAGCTGACAGCCAATCTCCATTAGATCTTTGAGGACTACATGAATATCAACAAAAACCTGCAATTAGACCACAGTTTCTATGAAATCTAAATATCTATGACCTTAAGGGTAACACTAATGTCAAAATAACTAAATACCATTGCCATCTATAGCCTTAAAACAACAGCCCCATGCCCATCAATTGTGAATTTAGCATGGAAAAATGAACCCAGGACTGCAGCCAATGTGAAACACTTCCATTGGTTCCATAACTACTTAGATACCATAAAATGCAGCTTGTTAGCCACTACTCACTAAATCTGAGCATTCCCTCCCCCAAATACAATGTCAAAATCCTTTTTCTCCAAATAGTATTTAAAACCCAAAGCCAACACCAAATGCCCAAGCCAACCCCCATAGTCACATGGCCTACTATCCGGCTCGGATTACAGTTTTCATGGCCTCTAGATCTATTAGACACCTCACCAAAAGGGTTGAAAAGTAATACCTTCGGCTAGAAAAGAATAGAGTGATGCTAAAATTAAAATTAATGAATGATGAGGAAGAACAATTATACTTGTACCCCAAGGTGAAAGAACCTGCAAAACAATCAGATGTAAATATGAATACAAAGAGTCATAAGCTAATACAACACATGATAATCCCCCCTGGCAACGAAGCAATTAGTAAGTAATTGAAAAGATCTTCATTTTGTTTTCAGAAATATCCTGAAATTTTATTTGTTCAGGTAAAACAGTTTAAAAATCACAAACCTGAACAGGAGATTGGAGAAGACTGAAGACAAATCCCACGATCTTCTTAGTGACGGAGCATGAAGGAGGAGGTCCCTTGGGGCGAACGACCATAGTCCGGCGTGTCCTTAGTCTGGTCTCTACCCCGATGTGGTCCGGCGAAGAAAATGAATCTCTGGGGAGGCCATGGGGAACAAAAGTTGCAGATGCTTAATTTACAAAGTAATAATTGAAGAGGAAGAAAGAATTGAAACGTCTGCAGATGGGGAAGAAGAAACGGAGAGAAAATAGAAGTGCAATTCCAGCTGTAAATGACGCCTACGTGTAAGTGCCATGTCACTGGCCACGTGTCAACCCCACAGTCAATTTACCCTACTTTATATATATATATATATGATATAGGATAGGATATAGGATAATGATAAGGATTTGGTAGTGTTTCAAAACATTAAAGAGTAATGATGATCTAAACTTATAACTTAATAAATCAGAAGATGAAAATAAATCTGTAAAAGAACAAAAATATAAATCTCAAAGATCAACTTCTTTGCATTTGAATTCAGAAGAAGTGCATGGTTTTAAAACAAAACAAAGCACCTGAAGAAGCTACTTGGCATAGTTGGAGACACTCTTGGAGACCACAACAACCATGTCCTTGATGGTTCCAGTAATAGACTTGCCAAGAATCCGAAGTCAGGTCCAACACGTATACAAACATTTCTATTCCTGCAATTATGAAAAACGTATGTCACAAAATTATAAATGTGAAAATAATTATTGAACTAACGACGTTTGACATGTGTTGATTTTTTGAATAGCTATGTTAAAATATGCTGAAATTCTCTTGCGAGAAACACTTCTCAACCATCCACGATCTTTGGCATCCCTTGGCATGCCACCTATATTCTTATGAGCCCTTGATTTGCAGAATCTACATAGTTAAATTTTAGTTTCTAACTTAGTGTATCATCTATGAATAGACATGCGCGATTGATAATATATATCATTAATAGTGAAGTGCCAATGGTAATTTGCTTTATAACAATGTCTCGTCAACAATTCTCGTAACAGTTTAGGCCAAGACATAAAACTTGGTTGAAAGAACCTCCTTCTGTAATTTGACCATCTTCAAAGAAAATATGAAATTCCGTAAGGGCCATCGACATTGGACAATGATATCTGCGTAAACCTAGGCCTTTAAGAACTAATATGCATTTTCAGCTTATGCACTATTTGAAGTTGCAGTCTAGGTTTCTCAGCCATATTCCTTATTATGCTCCTAAAAGTGTAAAGTAGACAAAATAAGTGTAAAGTAGATTTAGATACTGATGGAACAAAAAATAATGAGGGGCACTATCTCTTTATATCAATCACAATTTTTTTCGTAACACAGTTGTAAATATAAGTATAATACTCATTTCTAATAGGTATGTGACCATTAGTTATCATTTAATCATTCAAAAGGTATGCCACTTTTATGTATTGAGGTATTAAATTTAAAGATCATAAGTAGCATCACTAAAACATCATAGTCTTACAATGTAACATGTTTGTAAAACAAAGGGAGCATTTCAGTTTTCTTTGCTAAGTTCCAAGCCAAAACTAAACTGCGGAGTAAGATAGAGTAACAACGTTAAAGGTACACAAACGGCGAACTACATGTGGCGAAAGCTGAATAGATTTGAATGCAAGATGCCTTCAACGTGGAAAATGAAATTAGTTATTGAAGTGGAGAAGAAAAAGTGAATTTCTTTATAATAATGATAATACAATAAAGAACAATAGGTCTTTACCATAAAAGGTAGTGTCACCACAAAGAATATTAACAATGATAATGAAATGAATTAAACAAATTTCAAAAGGTAAATGAAAGAAAGAAAAGTTTTCAGATAATGAAAATGGGAAAGGATAATGAAATTAGAAATGTGTTAAATAAGATGAGAGAGATTGGAGTGACGCTTGAAAATTGAAATCAATTGCTCGGAGAGAGAGATCTCACTAAGTAAGAAATTAAAGAAATTTAAAAAATTAATTATCTACCTGCTCAGTTATGCAAAAAGAATTGATCATTGTATCATGCATGGAAAAAATCTCTAAATCATACATTTACCTCTACCTTTGAGTACATGAGAAAGATCCAGTTCTGACCTCTTACCATCTGAATCGCATGTCACATTGGTGGTGGCTCTGGCTATATTAAATCCAAACATGGAGATTAACATTAAGCTTGTTCAGTTTATCACCACGGTAGAGGGGCTAAGTACAAATATACTTCAGTTTTTTGAAACAATAAAGGGATAAAAATGCAAATTTAATTTATAAAAATTTCATAAGGGGTTAAGTAGCAAATGAGATCACTCTGAGAATAAGTGTATAACTCAACATCACGAAAACATCATACTCAGTAACTCTCAAACCCACTATTCAACCAATTTCTCACCCTTCAGCTCACTAAGTAAACAATTTCAAAAAAATTAAAAAAAAATCAATGCTCTACCTGCTCAATTATGCAAAAAAAAAAAAAAATTGATCATAGTATCATGCATGGCAAAAAACATGTAAATGATACATTTACCTCTGCCTTTAAGTCCATGAGAAAGATCCAGCTCTGGCTTCTGATCAGAGGTTACCACTGAACCGCACGTTACATTGGAAGCCACGTTGGCATCAAATACTCTCCACCTGAGGCCTTTTTTATCTTTCCATATTAAACCAGCAAGTGCTTTGAGTAGTAACAAATGTGCTTGTTAGTTCTTATTCTTGGAGTAGGGCAACAGGGAGAGAAATAAATCATAATTAAAGATCAGTAAAATCACTAAAGAATACATCTTTTGAGCCATTCCAATTCCAAAGAGAGAAGTAGATAACAATGGTCAATAAAAAAATTGCACCAGAGGAGTAAATATAACAAACACCTTCTGTGCATGCTCAAACATCATACTTTTCACAATTAAATAAAAAATTGGAAAAAATAAATTTACCGTCAAACAGGAAAAAAACTGTAAGAATTGGAGATGGAATACAAAATAAATTTACCTTTAAATTGCCACCAATTAGCTGGGTTGAGGCTGCCATGAATGAGGCTGCTAAGCTTTCCGAAGAGAAGATAACTGAGGTAGAGAAGTCGTGGGTCAAAGAGGGAGTAACACGGCGAGGTCGCTGCAGGATAACAGTATGCGTCTAATATAGATGGCCATGATTGAAACTTGATCTTAAGACATACTTCTCTTTATTATTATACTGAATTTGCTTTCTAGGGTTTAGAGAATCATTCTTTTTCATATGTGCAAACTAACAGAGAAAGATTAAGTTAATAAAAGGGGTATATTTTGAGACTTTGAGATGATACCTGAAATTCTTTTGATCTTCATCGCGCGTTTCATCGTCTGCCCCTTTTCCCCTTGTCGCCGATTAGTGGTGGTGACAACCGCGGAAGCCCTGCAAGCTCTCTTCTCCGATGCTCTTCTCCGAGGCAAATTATACTATACAACCGGCTGTACCCAAAATTGGGTACAGCCGGTAAATCAAAGAAGAAATGGCGTCTATAGGAGGAGCTAGTCGGGTCGGGTCGGAGGAAGGAAGCTGCGTCGAAGGAGCTGCGTCAGATCTGGAGGAAGAAAGATGGCCGCCAGATGGGAGACGTCTATGGAAGGGAGATGTGCACCGTCGATGGAGGAAGCTGTTGATAGGCCGGAGGATAGATGGCCGCCAGATGGGAGACGGTTGTGGAGGAGTCGATCGATCTGATGGAGCCGATGGAGCCGAGCCGATGGTTGCAGGGGTGAGAGAAAAAAGAAAAGTATGGATGTTATGAATTTTATTTATTTGAGAATCAACATTAAGTTTTTTAAAAATGAGTACTATTTTATTTTAGAATGTACATTACGTTATTTGTAGATAAATTTTATAATTGTATTGAATAAATTTGTGAAAATGAGTACTACATTATTTTAAAATGAGTACTACATTTTTTAGAATTAGTACCACATCATAGTTATGTTTGTGCGAGAATGAGTATTACTCTACTTCAGAATGAGTAATACCTGGATGTACCTATCTCTGTGTACATCCGGTTGTACGATATAGGAACTCCTTCTCCGATGCAGCGATCGGTTAAGGATGAACCCAAGAGAAAATCTAGTAAAGAAACGGCTGCAATTAGGGGAATGTCCAAAGTCTCTGTTCAATTATTCCCATATGAGTTGGCAATCCAACTCAGCAAAAATTAAGCCACTTATCTGCCACGTGTCAACACCACATGCAAAAAACCCTACTTTATATATATATATGATATATGATGATATGATGATTTGCTAAATGCCACCTGCGATGAATTGAAAATAACTTCAATCAAAAACTTCGTAAACAACATACAACTTTATCGGTAGGGCTATAAATAGATCACCGAAAATTCGATTACCGTCCGTATCCGTATCCGTTTATATGGAATATATCCGCATCCGTTAAAAATGGTTATTATCTGTATCCGATTAAGGATATCCGATTGCTAAACGGATACGGATTTGGTAATCACACATCGGATCCGTTTATAATCCACTCCACATTGACATCCGTTTAAATAACCGTTTATCCGTGTATCTGATCAGTTATATATAGTTTTTCCTAATTTTTTATTTTTATATTTTGTTTCTCTATTGATATTTCGAAGTATAAGACATTTTTATATGCAAAATATATGTGTAGACATATAAAAATATGTGTATATATGTATGTGTATATCTTTTTATGATATAAAGTTATCATATAATATCATAAACTATAAAAAATAAGAAAATAATCCTACTATATATAAAAAGAAAATGAAACATAATATGTTGTTTCCCGCCCATTTTGCCTTAACATCAGTCCAAACATTTGGGTCAATCAAACACATCAATTATCACATCTTCTCTATAAAGAATGGGCCAGGGGATTGCTTGGACACATGAAGATGTTTCTACCTATCATTTCGGTGCATTGTACCAAAGTCCAAACTCCAAACACTCTTTATTTGCAAATACTCCGCAATCTCTCTCTCTCTCTCTCCATTGGGAACATAGGAGACGGCTGAAGGTGGGTATTTTCCTTATGTTGCTCTGTGAATTTCATTTCATGAAGTAAATTGAAAGTGTTCTACAGTTTCGAACCCTATCCTCCGGTCACTGCTGCCCTAATTGTCAGCTTTAATTTGCCAAACCAAACAGAGGATTAGAGGAACATCATAACGGGAATAATAAAGATCCGCCGACCCCTGTACGGCCGAGCTCGGGTCAGTGGCTACGACCCGTGGATGCCTGGCCTCCGGTCCGCGTTGACGTGGTTCTCCTATTGTGACGTGGTTTCAATTAGTTTTGGCTTATGCTTATTCTGAGTCGTTCATGTATTTTGCAGAAAGCTATCCTCCTCCCATAGTGGGAGAGGTGGTTCTGAACACGAACATGGAGATTCTCATGCATACTCCCTCATCCATTAATTCAACTTTTTTCCTTAAAACTACTTTGAATAGTATAGTGTATGTACAATGACACTAAAAGATGAAAATTTCCAATCTCCAATCCAAGATTGCAAGGAGAGCGCAAGCAAGATTCCAACCCTTACGTTTGGGTTATTATTGTTTTCATTTCTTGCTTCTCCTCTATTATTGCTTCAAACATCAACTTCAAATGTTTTCCCTTCTCTCATTTTTAGGAGAGTAGAAGTCTTTGTACCTTTATAAACTAATCCACATTTGTTGTTCGAAATGGCTTCAAGAAAGCCTATTAAATTCACGAATCATGTAAAATTATCCGACTTTATTGATTCCTTTCTTTCACCAGAGTTTCTTGAATTATTATTTGATACGGAGTATTTTACAAATTCTTTACCTTTAATTGTTTTACAGGAATTCATGATTTCTCGAATGTGCTCCTTAGAGCATCAGCATCCCAAGATGCTTCAACAAAGTTTTTTCCAATTTGTTACTTATTTTTTAACCTACACGTCATTTTTTTAAACAACTAAAGCAACTTTTACCTTCATTCCCGAATTTGTTCAAGCACCCTAAAATAATATGCATGTGATCCCACAAAATATTTATACTCACCCCATCTCTAAAAAATTTTCACAGTTTGATTTTTTGGTCAAAATGTAGCACTTTTTAACCATGAATTAAATATAATTTAAAAGAATTAAATCTTATAAAAATTGATATATCAAAACTAATTTTTAAAATAAATATAATTTTATTAAATTTATATTATTACTAAATATTTTTTTTCATTATTGGTGGTCAAAGGGTGTTACAGTTCGCCCAAAAAAATCAAAATGTAGCAATCTTTTAGAGATAGAAAAAACACTATATATTTAGCAATTAAAAAATGGGTTGGGATGGGCTTAGTTTAATAAATAACAAAAGTACATATGAGTTGGGTTGTATTAAACAAAACCTTAGTAATGGCTATATGGGTTTCCATATGGGCTAAAGTACCATCACTAGATATGTACTACCATATTCTAGAGTGTTTGTCTAATTTTTATTTTTTGCATTCAATTATTTTTATCTTTGAAATTATTTTATCATCATATTTTTATTCCCATATTTATATTACATTGTATTGTTCTTTTAACCTTTGATTCTCGGGTCATATTATGATCAGATGGCCCTACGGTGCTTCGTTCGTAAAATTGATGGTTCCTACTCTCTGCCCACCCCATCCCAGCACCCCTGACCCCCTTCCTCATTCGCCAATTGGCTATAGTAATTACTATAGCCAATCGGTGAATGAGGGAGGGGGGCTAGGTGGTGTTGGGATGGGGTGGACAGGTAGGGGGCAGGGGATAGGAGTTGGGGGTAGGAACCATCAATTTTACAAACTGAGTACCGTAGGGGCCGGGTCATAATTATGACCCGGGATTCCAATGTCAAAAGATCCCCGCCGTATACATTATACAAACTATTTATATAAATTTGAAGTTTTGTAACCTATCATCTTATCCCTAATTATGAATTCTTTATATGTTTCATTATGTTTAGATAATAGTTCTGCCGTGCATCGCACGGGTTAGAATCTAGTTATCTCATAAAAAATTATATTTTGAAAATTAAAGTATTGTTTAATTTGGTTTCAAAAATTGGAAACGGATACGGATATATCCGATATCCGACCGATATCCAACAGATGCGAATACGGTTTTGAATTTGTAGTATCCGTCAAAATCCGTATCCGAATTCGATATCCGACAAAAATAAACGGATACAGCTTTGGTAATGGAACATCCAATCCGATTAGTATCTGTTTACTCATTTCATATTTAGTCATATTTATTCTTATTTTATACAATATGTACTTTTTAACATGGACAATATCTTCTTGTTGATTGGGCAACATTAAAGGCGGAATCAAGCAAAGTTGCTAAACACGTGAAAGCTTGTTTAGAGAATCAACATGTGGTTATCCCACTTGCTTTTGATAAATTTGGTTCCCTGGCCCCGGATGCGGGGAAATTTCTAAACAAGGTCCAACATGTCGTACATAGTAATTTTTCTTCCCATAAAACCCATAACTTTTTCTTTAATAGGATTAGGTTTGCTATCCAAAAAGGGGTTGCGGCATAACGTATTGCCTGTTTACCGGCTAGTTTTTTGTAGTTGGTTGTTCCCATAAACTATACACTAGTATTGGGTCAAAGTAAATACGAAAGCTTAAGAGTATTATACATACTACTATATTAATATCCACTTTCATTTCATTTAAATAAAAAAATAAACTAAATCTCAATAAAAACATAAGAAAATCAACCTGAGCACAAATGATAAATTCATACTTCACCAATTCACGAGTCGAAAATAACAAAACTAGACGTCATCAAGCATCAATCAATAATCTTGATAATAGTCCAAAATAATTATGTTTTGAAAATTTAAAAAATGAACCTAGCAGTGGCACTTGCAGGTTGCAGCGACTCTCAAGTCTTGGGGGCGGAGAGCACCACACGAGGATAGAGTGGTGGAGGTTGGAGAGCGATTGGCGGAGCGGCGGAAGGGCAGAGCCAATGAGGTCCTATGTTCTTCGACTTCCTTCGGGAATTAGCCACTTTAGAGAATTGGGTTTTATTTTTTTAAAAGCATCTAAACGACGCTGTTTTAAGAGGCTTCTTTTTTCTTTTCTTTTCTTTTCTTTTTTGACAATAAAATATCTGGGAATGCTAGGATAATGCTCATAAAGATGTTGGTTGAAGAAACCTACCCGTTCGCGGCGGCGGCGTTGCTAAAGTCGACGACGTGCGACTCGCATCGGCCTCTTACCTTTTCAGTCTTCCCTCCTCATGCATGACGCCTCTCTGTGGTACGCTCTACCGTAGTATCGGAGAGCTGAGGAAAGATATGTGGATTGTGTATAATGGGCTGGTTGCATCAGCCTTCAAGCGGTCAGATAAATAAGCGGCCCACTACCTACAAAATAAAAAAGACAACAACAATAGCAAGCCCACACAACCGGTCTGCCGATCAGTCCACCGCTCCTCACCACATTTGGCTTGAACCGCAGATAAGAATATTTTGAAAATCGAAAAAACTGAAATAGACCTTAGATTTTTTTTTTTTTAACTATTTTCAATTTCTCCCTACATCTTAGAAATTTTTTTGTGGAAAAGTGTTGTTTCAAGACCATACACTGCAAGAAAAATGTTTTTTTTAGCTTGAGTGCAAATCGTTACTAAAGCTTCCGTAGTTAATTACAAATAACTAGTGTTTACCCCGTGCTTCGCACGGGCTCGTATATATTCTAAACTTTTGAGATTTTATAAATATAATTTTAGTTGTTTTAGTTTCTAATAGTGACAAAAATTGTTTTAGACTGATGGAACATACAGAGTATATTGGTATGTTAATTTAA